TGCTGACAGGAGATTGCCCCTGGCAGCAGCAGCAACAACAACATGCGTGTTTGTGGCACGTGGGAGGGGAGGTGGGGATGTCCTGGAAACCCATCACACACGGTTAGGCTCAAGCAAAGGTACAAAATCATTCGAAAACATTTTCTAAACCCCCCAGGAAGGTACTGTACATTGTCGTTTTAATCAAAAGGTAATGTTTAACAAATGTAAATATTTTTGACAAATGTGATTACATTCATAGTATAGGTGTACTATTTGTCAGCTATTAAGTTGTTCTCACGATTATAAGAGCCGGAAAAAGTGTAACATGCGAACCGAAAACAGAGGTGAAGCCTTCAAATTGTAATTCCAGTCGGATACAAGCTGAGAAAGTAATGGAGTACACTGTGTAAGCTTTATTCGTGGATGTTTTGAATGTGGAATTATAAATCCTCATTCCTGACTGTACAGGATGTTATTGCAATGCTACTACAACTGCCTCTCGTGACACTTCACTGTGCCAATGTAACATTGTGTTAAATTATAGCCACGCGGACAACGGCATATTCAAGAGCCCTCCTTTGTGATCTCAGGGTCAAAGGGGCTTTAGAAGTGTAAATTATTCTCAATTGCAGATGACCATTCTTATATTGAAAATAGCGTAATAATTTACCATCCCTGCCTTAATTCATTTGTTTTTTAGTTTGTTCTAACAATACGTGTCATCATCTGCCATGGTCAATCCACTGCTGGATGAAGGCCTCCCCAATCTGATGCCACCTCTCACAATCCTGAAATATAGCAACCCATCTCGTACCTGCAACACAAACGGATTAACATCCCTCCATCTCCTCGCTGGATGTCATTCGGACGTGTTTCATTCCAGTACACAAGAAAAACCATTAAAGTTTATCAAAATTAATAAAAACAAAATTGACTATTGGTGACGCAGGATTTACAACGTAATCTTTTGGCAAGGCCAATGAGATTACTGCAACTAGAGCCAACTCCGGTGAATTATAAGTGCCATCTGCTCGCACAAATGTAGTCCTTAAAACTGAAACGCAGAGACACTTTCCAATAATCCCGCCCTGCCACTGGGTTCGTGATGGCCGCCCGTGAAAGGAGTGTAACCTAAGGTCACCACGAGTAGGTACGGCACAGGGGGGTGGGGGGGGTCTCTGAGTCATCGTGTCACCGTGCCACTGTCCGTGTTTACTCAAGCCCACACTTCTCTCGCTTCTCTCCATTACCCCGCGGTACTATACGTGACAACATGCGCCACGATGACTCACTGCACCGAGTGACCCGGCACGCTCAAGCCAAGAGCGACGCCTGATTTGACAGCTCAGTTATTTTTAAGCCCCTGCCGTCGTCACCACTTGCTTTCAAACTTTTCCACTCTCCCAGCACTTGAAACGATAACTATTAACAGGTGTCTCGTGAAAATAGAAATCAAATTGCTGGCACAAGTATCCTTCCAAGCGAAGATGATGATTACGCTTTGTTGCAGGATAAAATGATTGCAATTTTATGTAACTGCGAGCGGTAACGCTCGACTATGAATGCGGTACTATGCTATTAGCAGTTACAACAGCTGCATGCAATTCACGTAGTTATGTTTTCTACATGTTAACACACCTTGCTTGGTTTAAAATAAAACTAGCCACGTGTACACGAAACTCTATACATCAACAGCTACTTATTCGATTTCATAAAATGTCATGTCAGTTATGGTGATTGTAAAAAAATAGCATTTGAATATATTAATAGGAAACTCATGTGTGCAATAGGCACTAGGCTACACTAGGTGTTGATAATGACTTTGGCCATAAAATGTAGTGATAACAGTCGTGGTACAACCCGAGCATCTCCTGTTTGCGCATCACTGATGGTGGAAGGGTCTCCTTTAGAGGGAGCTTCAGAGAGCCCCTCGAGAGGGAGTTTTAGACCCATTCTCCCACACTGGCCAGACATTCGAATAGGAGAGAGTACTCATACTTTACCCCACCACATCGCATTCGGACTGTGGCATATCCATTTATGCTATTGAGTGGACAGAAATTGGGGGTGGGGGGGATGTGGATTTAAAAAGTTGGGCATTGGGGATTATCTAAAACTGGCTTGTGAAATTTGACTTCATGTGCATTATACGTTTAAATGAAACAAAAAAAAATATCTATTGGCTTCATGTTGGCCCTGGACCGGCTTCCTGTTTTGACTGCGGGGAGTCTAGGAGGCAGGAAAGAGAGTGGCGTGTACTGCTGCTGCCGAGGGCAGACTAGAGTCTCCTAGTGTGCGCCGGAAGATGACCCGTGGGAAACTCGGACGGCCCCGCGGAGGTTCTCAGCCACCAACACCACGCCTCTCTCTGTCTGCCTCGCTTTCCTATTTACCCCTCTGCCTCTCCGTGAACCGGCGTGAAAAGCGGGCCATAATAGCTCACTGCACACGCGCGCACGCGCATGGCGTGTACTTTCGCCGTGCACATAAGCTGGCCCCCTGCCCTTTTATATTGCTCCAATGTTCCCAGGATTGTTAGCAAAACGGCAAGCGGCCCAATGGGTTGACAGAAAACAGGAAAGGCTTCCCAACTGCAAACAGGCACGCGAGGTCCATTTCTTTTTTGGGCGAGAAAAGATCATTGAGCCATATACATCGACATGCAAATTAAAATCATGATATTTAGACAATGGAGTGTCGTGGAGGCAAAGCAAGCCACTCACTGTGCAAGCGTTGCCTGTTTACGCACTTATGTGGATACTGGCACAATATTGAGGACCTTAAAAAAGTGTGCTACACAAGGCGTTTTAAGTGAACATTGAATCGCACGCACCTCCGATTGGCACGGTTGGCTACGTACGGTGCGAAAGAAGTTCAACATATATTTACATACAAGTTTAGCTTGTTAATATTAGCAACCACAAACGTTGATTCACACACGGGAGCGGTGAGGGGCAGTCAGTGTAGTTGTGAATCAAAGCCGATTCATATTTTTCTTACATATAGCATATAAGAGCAGAGGTGAAATATATAGGGTCATTCAATCTGGCTTTTGTGAGGATCGGTGAGTTTCTGTCTAGACGGGAAATGGAGGTAGTGGGCACAACGTTTGAAGTCTCGCACACAGGTGGAGAACAGAACCCAGTAGTTTTTTAACGAAGCATTCTACTTGGCCCAGTTTTACTCGTATTTTAGCAAATGCTTATCTCATCATCCTGAAATGACCCATTGTATTTAACTACATAAGGATGTGTACAGCTAAGTGATGCCCGTTATACATTTATACCATAAACACATGTTAAAGTACAGTGCAAGGAATGTTTGTAAACAATCAAGTTTTTTCTTGCTGTGGTTGTCCCACCTGATGACGAGTGCTTGTGTTGCGATCGAAACGTCGTGATCTATTATTTTTCTACCTACGTGACTTTACCGAAAGAACCAGAGTATGTATTCCTGCAGTCACGAAAGCTTCAAATCGAGATATCAGCCATATTTGATTTCAACAACAAAACATTTTGTCTGTTTTGCACATTTGAGGACACTGACCTTACATAAATATCTTGATTTGAAGTTTTTGTGACTGCAGGAATCCACACTTATTTGGTTCTTTCGGTAAAGTCACGTAGGGAGAAAAAATAAATAATAAATCACGACGTTTCGGTCGAAACACAAGCAATCGTCATTAGGTAGAAAGATACAGCCGTAGAACTTCTGAACAACCTTGTTCCACGGCTGAATCTTTGTATCTGATGACGATCGCAATTACGTAATTTATTATTAAAATGTTCTTACTTAAATACTTTCCATTGATTAATGGCCTCACGTTCACGCTTTTATCATCGTACCACAGTAGATATTAATGTCATATTGCAGAATGCTGCCCAGCATGCACCGATTGTAAACGAAGCTTCATGGAACCGAGCAAAACCTGCGCTCAAAATGGGTTTTCAATTTAACGGATTAACAGCCTGCGCCAGTCATCGCATGGAAACAATTTTGGATTACCCTATTTAATTTCCTGCGAAGGCGATGATGTTACATTTACGCAATGAGACATATAAAGGTAGATTTCACTTTAAGCATATTTTATTGAGGAACAGATACAATTGGCTTCTTTCCCTAATTTTCTGCTCGTTGTTAAAAAAAAACTTTATTGATAATAAACAATGATTTACGGATGACAAAAAGTTTAATTTGGTTTCTGTGGATGCGTTTCCCAGTAATCGCACTTAATTTTTCTTCTTTATGCCCTGGTCGCGTGACTGTTTGATGTTTGTGCAAACAGCAGCAGCTGCGCACCAAGCTAATTTAAAGCCATTAATGGGATCTCATGCGGTTATTCTTCACTTTACTGCTGCTTACAAAGACATTACGTGGCTCTCTCAGTTGTGTTCTGGTCGAGAAAATGAAAACAGATTTTACAATATTTAATCTCATTGAAAGATTTTGTTTCGTTACAGAATGCCACTTCACTTTGGGAGGAAGATTCATCTTTATACGCGACTAAAGTTTACTGCAAAGGGGTTTTTTTTTGGCTGTGGTGTACCGAATAGCGGATTACACCACGTGTTGCTCGGCATGATGCCCAACGTTTCGCTCCACGTGTTGGGGGCTTCTTCAGGAACCGAATTTAATTCATTTCCTTAAAAAAAAATCTCTCAGCAGCACGTGGAGCGAAACGTCAAACGATACCGAGCAACACAGTACAATTCAAAAACACATTGGAGAGATTTATCTAAAGTTTTACATACAAGTACTGTGTAATGTGTGTACAGGTGTATGTAAAATTGGTTTAATTTAGCACCTACCGAGATATGCATCACTAGATATGTGCGTGAATATTCTTTGCAGTCTATTCAGTTATTCGGATTGCATAATGTACTGTATATGGTTCACGAAGAGTTCCACAATCATTCACTTAAAACTATAATTATTCACCAAATAATATTTTCTCCAACTGCTGAAAAGGAGCAAAGTAATCGCACCAGTAAGTATAATTTTTTTTGGCCTAATTCTATTTCTCTACAGCCCATTCTGTACACTCTCCAACCCATCAGATGTTAACGCTCATTCGCCGGTACCTCTCTCATCGCGTGCTCTCATGGGAAAAGGCTGCCTTTCACAACACATTTCCAACTTAAACTTTAATAAAACTATTATTCTAAGCTAGATTACACATAGAATCCCGATTGTATTTTGAGGACAATTATCCATCTCCAGTGAGATCTCTGCAGCGTCTTTGCTTGTACACTAATCTCATTTCGACCTCGCTTTTCGTGCCATTGTTATGATGGGTGTTGGCTTATTTCGATGTCGGGCCCCTTGCTCTCTTGTTTCCAGAAATCCCCAGGTGTTCCAATGATTTTCCGATTATTCCCACCAAGAGCCCGCCAAGTCACGGCTTCTGTGTTTCTAGCTTTTGTCAAAATTTCCTCGCGCACACCACAGTTGTCCTTTCATCATCCAAACGTAACCTTCTCTGTACCCTTAATCTGTTTCATAAATTGTATTCAACGGTCTGAATGTAAGACAATTATCCCCAGAGCTACGTGAATCAGACATGTTCTGGTCACTCACGAATAGATCAATGGGGCTGTAACGGAGAGGAAGCGTTTAACCAATGGACGGAAGCTTGACAATATGCTTTATTTTCATACAACGAAAGCAATGGTATTCTGCAATTGAATTTCGCACCTCTCTTTCGACTCGTGTTTGAAATGTAATGATCCCGAAAACAGTAATTGCAATTAAGCAACTTGCTGCTCATCGGTTCATACCACATAAAGTTGCCGTTCGATAGTCTGTCCTGTTCTATTGAAGACATTGACAAAAAGGCTTCTCCCTAAAACATTAATGGAGTCATATTTTTAGGATTCATTATGGAACGTGTCAGAGAGGGCATCCACTGAGGAGTTGGAGCGATGAATTCAGTTCGTGTGGATTGGCTACATCGTATCATCGCGACGGGTGGCGGTGGTTTTGGGTGGCCTTCATCCAGCAGTAGATTGACCCTGACCGATGATGAGGATAAAACGAGTATTTTATCACTAATAATAATAATCTTATAACGAATCAAACCAGGTAATGTCTGCAGACGGCTGTTGCCACATTTCTATACTCATATGAACAGGGCAGGGTTTCTGTAGCAATGATTACATGCGCTCGTTGGATATTGAGAACACTTGCATCAACTACATTGAAATAACGACGAATCGATCCGTCACTGAGTGAGGAACAGCAAGCAGTACAAGCATACAAGTTAAGACTTCCTCGCAGTACGCAGATGCAATGGTCGGTGATGTTTGTGGCTTTCTTTGTGTCAACGTCGCCACCTTGTGTTCATTTAGTGCAACATCATCAAGCACGACTGTGCAGCAATGTCAGACGTGCCGGGGGGGGGAAGCAGATTGTTTTATTTTATATACACACACACATACACTGTATCTAAAAACATAGGATAATGTGAAATCAAGCAATAAAACAAGATAGGTATGCATCGGAGCTCTATTTCTTGAAGCACTCATGTGGCGTCGACCAACATTGTGCGGAACTTATTTTTTTCCCCCTTGCACAGTGACGAACAAATTCTTTCACGATGTAAAATACAATGCAAAGACGTTAATTTATCGACTGGAATGACAGTATTAGTGCTAGGATTAATAATGAACACTGCTTTTTAACGCACTGATAATTCCATACACAAGACGTCATCGTAATTTCTGGACACGACTTTTGATTCGGGAACGGAATCGACATACGGGGGCACACGCAACGTGGATGTGGCTGAAATTCAGGGTTTAAAAATGAATTAAATCAGAGCATATTCTTGGTTCTTTCGGTAAAGTCACGTAGAAAAGACAGCGTCCTAAATTAGGACGCTCTGTTTCTCCACCTGAGGACGGCTGCATTGCGTTGTGGCCGAAACGTCGTGAGAATTGTATTTTTTAATTTTTTTTTTAATTTCCCTTCTACGTGACTTTACCGAAAGAACCAAGAATATGAATCCCTGCAGTCACGAAAGCTATAAATCTAAATAAAATCAGAGCAGTGCATCTCCTCTTCTGTGTACGTTACGTACATCATTGTAATAAGAGTATACGATGCATCTATTCAGGGTTTAGTTCAGCCAGATCTCTCCAAGGCAGAGCTCAAGAATATATTTCCCTGTCAAGCCCCACGCTGTCGAGGAGACTGGGCGTGGTCGAGGGGTTTGAGTGCTTGGGGAGCCTCGGAAGATATTCAAAGAGAAATTAAGCCATGGATTTATCGAAGATCAGAGTTATGTTCAAATGACTGATTGATAACTGGTAAAAAAAAACATTTTACAAAAGAGTAATCGATAGCGAATAACCAACAACCAAAGAAAATAACGTAATGTTTAATCTCAGCAGTAAACTTGTACTTAACGACAAAAAACGCCTATCGGTTTAATAATACATTACCCGGTCAGTGCAAAACCAAACTCAAAGTTGTAATCACAACAAGAGAACAGGACGATATATATGTAAGCCCTCAAAAAATGGCTAAATTTACTCCAAAAGCTCCTCCACAGATCCAAAAACACCATTCCACGCAGAACATTGTCGTTTCTGGTGTACACAAAACACAAAGGGCCGAGCAATGCGGAGAATAAATACAAATATTTGGAAGCTGTGACAGGATTCACGAGAGTGGTATTGTAAAAGGACAGCCTGCCAATGCTTAGCCTGAAGGAATTGGCTGGTGACATCTGCCTTCCAAGCAGATTTATGGAGAAATCCTTTACTCTCCTATTACACAGTAATTAAATAGGGCTTTTTTTTTTACAATGATGTTCATTACGTACATTCTCAAAAACGTAACACTTTGATTGTGCCCAAACAAATACTCTAAAACATGGTCCTTCACAAAAAAACATTGCTCGCATTATAATTCATCGGGAGCATAACTTACGGGGGGAAAAAACATAACAGTATATAAAGAATATGGAATATAAATGTTTATTTTTCAATAAAGTGTCTTCCTGCCGAATTTTATTGGCAGCATGTGTGTAAAAAGATGCTAAAGCACCATAGTACCAGTCTCTAAAAAATAACGTTTTGCATTCCCCCCCCCCTCCTTTCCCCCACACCTTGGTGTTCATTCAACTTTTGGACTGTGCCACATAGCGTCAAAATCACGTATCCGTGTCCGATTTACAGTTTTGGAATTTGTCTCGGAGACTGTGCACACGCCTCAGTTGGCCCGAGGGTTGGCTTCCTGCAGAGGGCTTCGGAGAATCTGCGTCTCCACCTGCCAGGGTGCTCCGCGCGGTCTCAACACTTTTGAGCAGACACCCACCACCGCTGGCTGCGATGCCCGTGATGCCTGCGCTGAACTCCACCGTGATTTCTGCAAATGGTTTTTGTGGAGACTGTCCCCACGAGTTTGCATTCACGGTGAGAATCTTCCTTGCGATGCTTCTGACCGGGACTTCCATGGTGGCTTGTGTCAGTCCAACCTTTCTGGTTGAGGTCATTTCGGGTGACGATGAATTCCCATTGATTAAAATGCGCGAACTGCACGGCAGAGGGGGCCGTGTGGTGATCACGACAGGGTTTTCGTCTTCAGCTCGTTTTACAGATACACTGGGTTGGCATGTGTCGATGTAATTTTCGGAAGGTTTTGGCTGAATAGACATTAAGCAGTCCTGATGGTACATGTTGTTTGTCATCTTTGGTTCAATCACCGCCGTGCTTTGGATGTTACAAGGAACAGTCCTGTCAATGACAACTATCTTTTCCGTGTCTTGTAGAACGATTTCTGAACCACAGTATTGTGTGTGTTTCTCTGTGCTTTCATACAAATGCTCAGTGAGCCAAGATTTGGATGTATCAGAGTCATGTTCTTGGACATGATCTACCTGGTCAGTACTATCAAGAACAGCATTTGGACGAAGCTTCTTCTCTGTATTTATTTCTCCGTCTATCCTGTTTTTGGACGTACCCATACTGACGACAAAATAAGTAACACAATTTTCAACACTTTTGGATGTTGTCAGCTTTAGACTGGATCTCCGTTTGGTCGTTTCAGTTGTGGATTCTTTTGTTCCATCTTTGGTATCCTGAGAAGCCACACATTTTGAGCCAGAATGTTCTATAGGAACGTGAATAACAGAACGAGTGTTGATTGCAATTTTACTTTTTTTATGCTCCAATTCCTTGTCCTTGGTTATAATTTCTGGCTCAGAATTTCTCCGCTCCAGAAGGGAGTATTTAGACTTAAGGTCATGCACAGTGGAACAGGTTTTGTGATCAGAAACCGCAGTCTCCTTTAACATGGTGGCGGCACAAGCAGTGTGTTCTGATGAGGTGGGAGATCTGCAATGATCTGGAGAGAATGGCCGTGGAAAGGCTGTAGACAATTTGCTTTTGTGAGCCGAGTTAGGGAGCGCCTTGCTGTAGCCCGAAAACGAGGAGGACCTAGACAGACCAGAGCTGCAACGGGCATGTGGAAATCCGGCAACAGAAGATCTGTGAGGGCCGAGGGAAGTGACAGTTTGTGGGACAACACATGCTGGTGGTGACACAGGTGGGGGAGACTTAGGAGTGTAGCGATCATAATAAGACCGGCTCTGATCTTTTACAGCACCCGTTGGTGGGAATTGGCCCGTGAAAAAGGTTGGTCGCCGAAATCCAAATGATGATGGCATCGGTGGATTATGCTCATGGCGGTTTGATCTGTAAGGCTGCTGAGGCCCTGTCGTGGGATGTGCCTCTGAAGGGCTGGCCATCAAAGGAGACAGAGGTGGGCTTGTTGGGGTAGGTGAAGATGGCTCACTGATAGAAGTCTGCTTCTTGTTGAGTTTGTTCTTCAAGGCTGCCTTACGTATGTGTTCTGTGGTTGGCAGCATTGACGGGGCAGAATGCTGTTTCTTCATTGTGAGGTAACCGTCAGCTCTTGAACCTTAAATAAGAGAAACAAAATATGCAAGGTAATAAATGATCGATGTATGTCAGAGTTCGTAACTTACTGCTCATAGCAGTGAGCTTAAATTTTCACCGTACCTCCAATGGACCGTTAGACACACGCTAAATAATTGTTGATGAAACTAATAATGATGGTTCACAGCTGATCGTTACCATAATGTTCATGTTAACAATTGAAACTTAAAAGTGGGTGTCTGGCTCAGCGATCAATGTGCTAAGCTGGCACCACTGATATATTATGGGATTGCATTTGAGCATCTGCTCACGATTAAAGCACGTTTTCAAGTGTAGCGATTTGATGGTCTAAGACCGTTCGCCAATAAAAGCATGAAAAAAACCCACCAAATTATATTTGGTTTAGGACTTTATTTGGCAAACTTATACCTCCAAGAATTATATATTTCTGAGTATAATGTGATTAAAGTTTTACTCTGCAGCAGGGCAGGTGGGAAAGCGTCACTCCTTAGTGTGGAGGTCACTTGAAGATATTTCAGAAGTAGTTCTGCTTTATCTCCTTATGCGGACCACTCTCCAACACGGGGTGATTCACTGCTAGCTGCAGAGTTCTATAACGGAAATGTATTTGTCTATTACATGGTTATGTTTACAAATTTGGAATACAATTGAGAAAATGTGTTTAAAAAAATACAATTCACTTGACATTGGAATAAAACAGCACGTGTTTCGTAGACAACACAAGTCAACATCACATACCGACAGTGGCCCCTTGCAGCATCTTGTGTTCCAGCAAAGCCGCCAGCTGCTGGCTGGCCTTCTTGCGCTGTTCTCGGTCTACCTCGTCCCTGTCTGTCTGCGCCTGGGCCTTTAGTCGCTGGTTGTACTGCCTTGCCATGTGCAGCACGTGGGCCCGGCTTCGCTCCTCCTCATCCGTTCTGGCTCTGCTCGTTTGGCCGTTACCGCCAGGGCAAGAGGCTGTGCGTTTGGTAGCACACGTGTCTTTGCGTGTTTTTTTGGCAAGTCTTTCTTGAAAAGTGAACGTCTCTTCTTCTGTATTCTTTGGATGAAATGTGCCGTCATGCCGATTGCAATCTGGGACACGGGTATCGTCTTCCACGATGCTGTGTTGTGATCGTGGCGATTCCTTTGTGCTGTGTGTAGCAGCATCACACTCTGCTTCTTCTTCCTCTTCAATAAACAACGGTTCGAATTTATCAGTGCAATCAGGAAAGTCCTTAATGTCAACGCCCTGTTTTTCATGCCCATCAGAACAACCCAATTCATCTGTTGGTGAAAAGCCATTTGGTCCTAAATTAACACAAGATGTTACATTACTCTGCAATTGTACAGTCTCTGACAAGTCCTGGCCTTGTCGGCCGAGGATGCTATTTGTCGCAGTATCTGGCTCTATCTCTACAGATCCGTCAGCACGTGCACCACCATTTTCAACAAACAACTCCTCACTCTCAGATGTGCGACTAAGTGAAGTGCTACTCGCAAAACTGGAATGAGAGGCAGAATCTGTACAGGTGGGAACTGTGCAAGCACCCGTGACCTCTTCCTGTTGAGGATCCACAGTTGTTGCTTCACCTTCAGAGCCGCTGACGCAGTTTTCTGTTTCAGAGTCGTCATCATCATCATCTTCATGGGAACTTTCATAAGTGCTTTCCTTTATCCTCTCCATGAAATTATTACGCAGCATGTAGGCAATGGACGATGGCTTACTCACAGGCTCCGATGAAACGGTTTGAATGAGAGGATTCAGCTGCTGGTCCACAGTTTCCCACACGGGCTCAAGTCCTGCAGAGTTGCCGCTGTTTCGTAACAGACTTCTACTCGGGGGTTTCAGTTCAGGGCGATGTGCTGAGTTTTTAGCCAGGCTGCTTATTTTTAAAACAGAATTTTTCACAACGCCCTTCGGAATGAACGCCATGCTCTCTCTCTTCTTGGAAACGGGCATTGCCGATTCTTCGTTTAGGTCAAAGTTCTCATAGAAGCTTTTGATCTTTTGCAGGAGGAGCCTATCCTTGTTGTTTAGTGTGGAGAAAGCTCCACTCTCAGCTGCACTTGGGGCTCTATTTTGAGGATTGGGCACGGTTTGGTATCTCTGCAGCTTTGGCCTTTTTACAGTTCCGTTGTACGGTACTTTATCGTTGCCTCCATCAGAAAACAATTCAGCAGGTGCTTGCTTTGGCTCAGTGGCGTGCAGGGTTTCACATGATTGAACAGAAGGATTGGGATCAGACTTTTGCACAAGAGGAGATGCACTTAGAGCGGTGACGCATTCAGTTGCGTCAGAGCATTCCGCATCGGATGGAACATCATGCGACATATCGTTAAAGCTCTTGCTTTCAAACTCTTGTTGTGCTAAAGTGACATTTTCAGGACTTGTGGACCTTGAATTGGTTAGAGTTGCCGAGGTATTTTCTTTCATATGCAAGTTTTCCCCTTCTCCATTTTCAGTAGCAGGCATCAAATCCCCAAGGGAAAAGTGCTCAAGTTTTTCATCATCCATTCCACCGTCATCCATGATTTCATCAGTTAATGCACATGCACCCTTGCTATTGATCAAACTATCCTCTTTATCCATATCAATATCTTCAACTGGCTCAGCACTTTCTGAACAGAAATCGTCAAAGAGAAACGATTTTGAAAATGAAGACTTCAACCAATCCAAATTCAATTCAGACGCCAATAGATCCAGCATCACCTAGCAAGAAAACAGATGAGAGGCATGTCATGTTTACGTTACTAGACAAGTCAAGCACTATTTGCTTGTACGCAAGTTGATATCAGTGAAGGTTAAGAAGATCATGATTACAATTATGATTGATATGATAATCGTGATAATTAAATAATCACAGTGCGTTCTGTAGATATTGTATGAAAGTTAAAGTGAGCACCTGTGCTGATATTGAGGGCTCGAATACAGATTTGACCTCGGATTCTGAATTCTCTGAAACCCCATCGCTCTGTAGGAAGAGAAAAAATAAAACATCTCAGTAAACAGTAAAGCTCTGTAGTACATGTTCACATGCAGTGCACATTCACACGGGGGGGTGGAGCTTTGGCACAAGGGTGAGCACAAAGTGAAACATTTCCTGAATTCAATTCCCAGCTTACATCAGCGGCGGGTTAAATCTGAACTGCTTCTGGCCCCATCTTCGCCAACCTTCACTGACCAGCATGGTGAAAGATGGTAAAGCCTCTCCCAGAGCTGGCATGGCGTGACGAGGCTTTAATCTAAGCAGCATACCGACAAACGGCTTAATTAACATGGACGTTTAACAAGCAATTGGCTTACCCCTCCACAGCTGTCATTCCCTTTACGGAATTTGTCCTCTCCTGGTCGTATCTTGCTCTCACTGCTTGCGCCTTCAAAATTGTGGCCGCCAAAATCATCTCCCCACGCATCGAGCTCGTGCTCACTGCCCCGCCGTGCCGGTGCCGGCAAGCTGTCACAACTCCGGTGTACGTCTCCCCTGCGAGTTCCTTCGCCCGCATCGAGGCTGTCGTTGCTGCAGTGCCTGCGCCTCGCGAGGCAATTATCGCTGCCGCCGTGCCGAGGTCCTCCCGCCGCGGGAGGGCCACCCTTCTCCAGGCCGTACTTCCTGGGGCCCAGGAGCGGGCTGTCCACTTCCAGGCTGGTCATGCTGCCCCGGCTCAGGAGACCGGCCGCCGGCTCAACGCTGTCCAGGCCGTCGCAGCTCGAGTGATGCTCCTGCTTCTCGCAAGTCTCAAGGAGCTCCGAGCTGCTGCTGGGCTCGAACGACTCGCTGTCGCTGAGGAGCTCCCCGACACTGCCTGATCGCTGGGGAGGCACGGCAAATGTCAGGCGTGATGCTTTGTGCGCAGAAACGGAGCATAAGAACACGATCTAGCACGCGTTAGTTTTAGCTAAGCTAAGTTGTGATATTTTCTGTGACAGTCGCTTTTTTTGTAGAGTACATGTTGATTTTTTATTAAGAAGAATTGACAATTCGTATGATGGCCAGTGGTCAAGACTCATGTCGGAGTTGCAGCTAGATGAGAAACGTGCCCAAGAGGACATCCACTCTGAAGGTAGAGCAGTGAAATCAGCTCGTGTGCAAGTGTTCGATGGAATGCTGCATCACGGGACTGTGGGAGATGGTGATGGCTTGGCAGGACCATCATGTGGCCATGGTTTGATCGTGGCTGTTGATGTTTAAATAAACAAGTTATTGCTGCGTATGAACATTTATTGCAATACACTTACCATTCTCAAATCTACTTCAGTCCATCCAGTCACAGTGCAGGATATGTAAATGAAACCAGACATGAAGTCAGCACAGTACAAACATTTCCAATTTCAAAGGGACATTATCATGACGATACTTAAGGATATTTATAAACTTTAGGGCCCTTGTAATTTTATTGTGATTCCATGCCTTTCTTGACTGACCATAGTGACTACAAAAAATATTCATTCTTTGCCTATGTGGCATCATCACAAGCACGGATAATAAAACACTCAACACCTTCATCAATAACACTGCCCAAAAATGAAAAATTGATAGGTGGTATTTCAGGAAATGGCCCTTCTTCATAGCACACTCGAGGCCAGACAGACTGAGTGGATAAGAGTTGGAGATAGTACACAGTGGTCTAGATGTATTGTGACCCCCAATTTATTTCTCTAAAAGTATTTTTTTTTATTAAGGTTTATTTAAAACAGAAATGAATATGCAAAGGAAAAAAATGCGAGGGCTAATATTAATTGGGAGTCACAAGACATCGGAACCACCCTGTACTTTACACCAAGGGGCCTGATAACATTCATATATATTTTTGTTTCCTGATGAACAGTTTTTTAATCGGCATATGAATAGTTTCCTTTTGGTCGCTGTTTGAAGGACACACCCTTCGATAATCAAGGTATTTCTAAATAAACTCACTTGTATTCAAAGAATAATATATAGCCAGCACAATGCATTATGGGAAGAATTGTTTGTGCGAGGTCAATGCATTTTTCGATCACTGTGCTGCCAGATCGGAGTTCAGTATTTCCATAACTGGAAACCAATACGTATTTTTTTGGTCTTTTTGAAATTATATTACAATTGTCCTCTCGTCATCATGTCATGAGATGATGTGTTCATTTGTAACTATTGTACAGCAGCGAAAGTCCATGATGAAGGCTCATGGAAGGAGATAACAATAATTTACATGTATTTATAAGGCGTCTTCCACTAATGATATCTGCACACGTATCAAGAAAATTCCCTTCAAGTGACTTTTTTTTTAAACCACACACTAGGGGGTGCTGCACTTTTCCACCCATCCTGCTGTCGGGGACTTGCTCATCACGTGGCAGTCAAAGGAATATTTAAATAACGAAATCTCACAGCTGGGATTTTAAAACCAATTCTAACACGATAGCCCTTTCGTGGCGACCAGGCTCAGACCATTAACTGACTCCACTTTGAGAACCCAGTTTGACTTCGCAGTGGTGCCACCACGGATTTGATCACGTGATCTCAGTGGCGTCAGCTACTCGTCACCAAACCTACGCACAGCACAAGAACTGCGCACGAGGGGGCGCTCAAAGAGCAGGCTAAGGCGGAGGCCGTTCGAACTTTGTGCTTTCACTGCCATCTGCGTCTTCATTGTCCAACTTCGTTTATGTTTGCCCTCATATATTTGCTCAATCATAGCACGTACAGCATAGGCCTCTATTACATGGCCGCGCAGAGTACTTACACAGATGCCCTGTTTTGTGTCAATAAATAAAGTAATATTTATTCATTGTGGTTGCATAATTAGCTTGTTATACCAGCCCATGATGACCTATTTCGCTAATACTGTCACGAGACTGTAAAGTACACAAGCAGACAGCTGACAAAACATTTGGCATTGTGCCGATAGCAAAACTTTTGTAAGCACAGTAAATGTATATTAATCAACACCCCACAATGTCCCTTTGTTTACCTATATATTGTTTTAAGCCAGTAACATCTTGAAGTGGTTACGTGTTGAAAAAAAGACTAAATTATTTCGTACACTTGCGCTTTGTCTCACTAATTCCTTAAGTACATTTTCGAAGGAATTAATTCTGCAGAGATTACTTAAGTTCACCCTAAACCCACACGGAAACCAGAAACAAAACACACCGAGCGGCTCTAAAGTTCTTGCTTTTCTTGTCGCAGGTTCTAAAAAACGGGAACAAGAACATTTGAAAATGTGAATAATAATGTCACCAAACGCACACTAAATAAAACATTCACAATTATATACTTTCTAAGATATTACTCAGAGCAATTTTGAACCACAGCCCGACAATTAACGTGACACATGCAACACAGGAAATTGCAAAAACTCAATACTGGAAAGTCTGAAAGATGTCAGCAGACACAGCTTAGGGTAACCTGTGTACCAAATCCCATGGCAGTGACGGGGGGAGCTGGAGGGGGAAGAGGCCCCCTGCTGAAAGTTGAGCCTCCCTTGTTAAATCCTTGTAGTACAATTAAGCAGCAATAGGCGTCGAGGCTTTTCCTCAAATACAGTACATAAGGGGCACAAACTGGATCATAATACACGATGGACAAAAGGAGATCATCGTTATTAATTCAGTTAATTCTGCTTAGGGTTTAACATTTGTTCAAAGTTTGTTGAACATTGGCTGTCATGACCCCACTCCCCTAACCTTCCCCCTGAGCTTTTGAATGCCCCCCCCCCGCACCCCCCGTATGTACAGGGTAGCTGTGCTCCCTAACAGCGTGTCGGACGACACAACTGACCTGACTTGCGTCGACCTCTTCGCAAGGCGAAGCTGCCGGTGGAAGGCGGCACAGGCTGTGCGTGAGGCTGATCTGCACGAACAAAGCAAATAAAGGGGACACCCCAAGCATTAGGGCAGGCTCGACGGTCGTACGCTTTATCTATTGCCACGAAATGTCTCTGGAAGCAAGAGAATGTGGCACTCAATGCATAAAGCCCTAGGAACAGTAATTCGCAATGGGAGATTGCGCTGGTGATTTTTCCAACGTTATCATTTAGTTGGTCTCTGATTATAATAAAACAAATTACGCCCCTGTCTTTTGTTTGACCATAGTGTATTACGTCGGAAACTATTCAATTGTCTTCACCAAGCCGTACTAACCAGCGTGGTGAAGTATAGCAAATCACACCTGCAATTTGCGTGGTGCAGGGAGATTTTCATCCAGCAGTGGATATCTAAAGTTGGCTGTATATGTATTATTCAAAGAAAAAGATCCCACATCGATTTTTCTGATAAAGTAAATCACTTAAAGCTACGTAACTGGATATTTACGCTCTTTAAGCATCTGTAGAAGTGACTGTTCTACTTTAAAAGTCATATAATATTTCATCATCGTCACTATTGCCATTTATTATTTATATAGTGTATCATGGTATCATGCCCTGCTCTGCAGATCTGGAGGCGCAAAAACATAGTTAAAACTTGAAGTCAAATATGAAAACATGAAATACTATATTCTAGGTACAAATGATGATTGTGTTTGAACGGACACATTATCGAACACGACACTGTACTTACGGAAAGCGTCCATCTCTAAGATGGCTTGTTTGGCCTACAAAGCAAAGAGATTTGCATCAATGATTACATAAATTTTACAAAAACAAACATAAATGCTGGCTTAAAAGTATTCTGAAATCTGGTGGGCCCACAGTGGAGACTACAAAGGGCAAATTAAAGCAATTTTGTGATCTACAATTTCCTTGAAATGAAGGAAAAACAAATGTGACGTGACCTGACAATGTGAGATGCCCTAGCAGGCCACACTCCTCCACGATCACGTAGTTTTACTCATTCGTGACAATTTCGCTCACACTAACTCCGCTTCTCCGCTGACAAAAAAAAGTTTTTGAAAATAATGCCAGCTCCAATGACCATCTCTGATAAATACACCCATCAATGGTTAAACATCACAGCAATAAAAAACAGTATTTAATATTATAGGCAGTTTATAAATACACATTTTATTATATAGACATTTTTTTTTTACCAAACTCGTGAAATTTTTATTACAGATATAATTTAGAATGTTTTCCTATGCATTAGATATCAGACAATATGTTGACAGGAGAGATGGCTAACCATCGAATAAAGATGGTCACTGCATTGCACGCTTTCAGGTGTGCTTCTGCGGCCATCTGGAATGCCCTTCCTTCCGATATTAGAAAGCCACTGGAGCTATGCACTTTTAAAGTATCTAGATTTCTATAGAACAGTTTTTTGTGTTAAATTTGTTGTCTTTCCCCTGCATCTCAGATTAGCACGGTCGGCTACGTATGGTGAGAAGTTCAACATACTGTACAATACATATGTACGGTGCGAAAGAAGTTCAACATACGCACGTGACTGATTTGAGAGACTATCAAAGAGAATACTGCAGATATAAACACCAACGAAAAGAACCTCATCTTTCATTTCATCTCTGCATTCCTCAGTGATCACAGATAACCTCCAATATATGGCTCCCTCATAATTCACACGAAATATATTTTTAAAAAGGCTTAATAAAATAGGCTTATTCTTACTCGTCCATGAAATATCTCATTATTTTAGCACAAATATCGTAGTTAAAGATGTATAAATATGTCATATGACACTATGTTATGTGTTATTGAGTGCGGCTGAATATTCTTCATAGAATAATTATTATAACGTATAATGCATAGAAATATCAGAGCATTCTCATGACACCCTATACAAGACAATCATAATTAACAGTGTTGTGAAAGGATAATGAAAATAATTATATGATAATCATGTACATTGTATATAAAATTAGGTCACAATTGCAATATATATGTTGCATTTTAACAAGTACTTACATTCCAAATACTTAAAAGTTTAGTCTAAAAATGTTAGACCTGCATTTGAGATGAATATGCTGCCAAAGTATGATGCAGCAATATCGATTATTATCATGCAGTCATGGTCAACAAACAGAAGGGGGAAGCGTTTTTTAGCACCGTGTGTATGTTAAACTTCTTTCGCACAATACCTAGCCAACCATGCTAATAGGAGGCACGTAACATGACTCATGCTACACTCATCATAACCGCCATATGCCACTCATAGGCCACTGTAGACTGCTCAATCCATGAGTCAGTTAGCCATCACCTCACTCTTTGTGTGGAAGGAATCCGGTGAGTAAGTTCGACAGGCCACTTCACAGGCCAAGCAATACTCAACATGTGCCGCCACGTCATCCCCGATGCCTGGTACTTGTTACCATTAGACTTTAGCGGTGGCCTCTCATGCCGACGTGAGAAATGGGCTGACGGAACGAAACCTCAAACGTTTAAGAGCAAGAGGTTGTGTTTAAAATGAAATAAAACTAGTGAGTGTATGGCTCAGCGTGAAAGATTTACGTACGTGAGGGAAAGAAGAGGTCTGGTTAAAGTCTGACAGTGCATTGTTCCTTTTACATCAGACAATGACGTGCCGGGTCAGTTATGAGAATACGTGCAGGCTGAGCGTTTCAACAGCAGCAGCGGTCACCTTGAGTGGGATTTTTCCTGGGTGATTCTCTAGGATGAGCCGTTTCAATTCGTGGATCCAGAGCCTCTTTTCATCAAAGGAGCGTGCCTGAAATAACAATATTAAAGTTCACAGACACACCATGATCGGGGTGTACCCAGGGCTTAGTTTAAGCTGGGTCTGTCTGGGTCGAAGACCCCAAACATAAGTTTTGCACCTGGCATACTGCATCCAGTATAAGTATTGCAATGGCTTTGGCTGTTAGTCACGTGCCTATTTCAGTCCACGAGTGACCCCGAAAATATTGCTTGAGAAATGATGCCCTGGGTGTAACTTGTCATGAAACGGTTTGGGCACATGTCAAGCCGCATAGAACCGAGAATAAGGAAAACACGAGGATACTTTGTAATTTCCATTTGTGAACGTGGAGAAAGTATCTCAGCCAAAAAGTTGATATTAATGTTTTCCTCTAATGAGTTGTGGAAATTTCAGCATGTTAAAAGTAAAAAACCAGAGCAATAAAATGCATAAGTTATAGCAACTTTGTGATTTATTAACCAAAAAGGAAACATTTAGTTTGACGGCCCAATGTAGACATCACAAGTTAACTTTGGCAGAAAGATCGTGTTGTGAGAACCAATGTAATTCTGTATTGCTTGATAATAATATACAATACACACACACGCGCGCATATGCTATATTAATTAACATTCATGAAAAATTTAATGTGAAGATATTTCAGCTTCCATTACTGAAATATGACTTGTGTACGTATCGAATGTACTATGAAGCTATCAAGAGCTGATTGGTCAATACCGGTCACTCGATCAGATTACAGTTCAACCTAACCCATCCACGTGATATTACACATCTACGCACCTAAAGGCAAGGTGTCTGCACAATATCAACCAGTCAGAAGATTCTTGATCCCTGGAGGGAAATGACCTCAGATTTTGGCTGGCATCGGCCACCCCTGCTGTTCCGAGCGTTTATTACTTCCTGAACCCGAGAGGCAATCCATCTCTCAGCGGTCTCCTCCCAGGAGGCAGTGTTTCACGGGACGGCTCTACCCCTCGGCATTTGTGACCGGCCGTTTGCGTGTTGGCGCAATGCGAATGGAGGAGGTCACATTTGCAAGCAATTTCTCAAGATTGTGAACAACTTGCTAAGCAAACAAAATTCAAATTCTTCACGCAAACCCACAGCCAAACACACATGTAATTAGTTGAAACTCAAAACACGATTACAACCGTAGATACACAGACGTTAAGACCAAATCGTACTTGTGATGCTATCATAAAAGCATACGCAGTGATGCATAATAGCCGTCTGCAAAGTGAGATCATGGCTCTTAAAAGAGCACGAGGAATGCATCGGAGATGAAGGATGCTGAGCCAACCTGCACTGTGTGCTGAATCTTGCTGTTTTTGAAGTGGCGGACGCTGAAGCTGAGAGGCTCCTTGGGAACGTGTTCCACAAGCATGAGGTTTGAGCACTGAGGGACCATAGAGGATGTGTGAACATCAACACTTTGCCAAACAAAGACCTCACTCCAAGCAACATTTGCATAACCGCAAAAAAAAAAAATCGGCTAAGTGTTAACCAAGATCACTTCATAAATAGAGGGGGAAGTCGATTATAAGCACAGTTCTAATATAAGCAACGCATCGTTACATCACACCGATAGGGAGAAAGTTAGGGGTAACTTCAGATGCAACGCATACTTTGGTATATAAGCACAGCTGGGCCTTCTCCCAAGGGGTGTGCTGTTATTCAGATGTTACAGCACTGCATTTATTATTTTTTTGTCAGGAGATTAAGAGGTTGCCTTCCGTGTTCTGCTTTGTTAAATGCTGTACAAGATTTCCCATTAATTTCAAATGACATCGTTACAAAATATCCTTAGCCTTGGACTCGTTGGATTGGCCTGTGGTTTCTCCTTCGCCGACCCCTAGGCTTATCCCCCTGTGCCCGTTTGCTCCTTCCTGTGCGACTCGCACACCGGGCTGCTCACCAGGATATGTGCCTTGTAGGCGTAAGTGTCGTCGCGTCTCTTGGTGAGCAGGAGGATGCAGTGGAAGAGGAAGAGGGAACGCTCGTGCCGTGCACGGTGCACACGGAACGTGCCCTCCAGGACCAGCTCGCCGTAGCGGCACAGCTCCGGGCCCTGCCACTGCACCAGCTGCGCCTGTATCTCCTGCAACCCGCGCGGCGGTCGCAACGGTACAAGTCATGCATTCCCATCGTACTCCCCTGATTACTTTTGAAAGTACGTTTGGTAATTGGGCTTTACAGCTGCTTGTCCTATGGAACTATGCATGTTTCAAATAATGTGGCTTTTTTGTTGGCCGAATCTACATAAACCATTTCAGCTAATAGGTCGGAGGTGGAATGAACAGGTTTGGAGCCTTAGCGGGGGTTAATTACGTTGTTGAGAAGGTAAGAGAGGCAAGACCTAGATGCTTGGGCACGTGTTGAGAAGACACAAAGAAGGTGGATTAGATTGGCCATGGAGATGACACTGGTGTAGGACAGGAGGAGGAGAGGGAGACCGAGGGCAGGGTGGATGGATGTCGTGGAATGAGTTACGAAGATGGCAAATGTGATGAGAGAAGAATGACAGAATAGATGTGAGCTGTGGCTGAGCATTGAACTGGGGCTGCTGAGTTAGCGTGCCAACCACTGTACCACCGTACCACCACTCCACCTACTGCTCGATAGGCCTTCAAAAATATTTTGGCAAAATATTTTGACACCGGTGATATATTATTTACATTTGAAATTGAATATATTGAAACTGTGCATAATATAAAATATAAGTGCCTCTCTGTTCTGTTTGGTCACCGTAGATTGACATTACTCTGCAGTAATTGAGTTTATCATAAAAAAAACCCAACATTCACTTGCGACAAAATGGCATTAAAAACAGCTGTGCTTTTCAGTTTTTCTAAGCAGACCGCATGCCAGAAATTCCAGCTCTATTTGGTCCCTGATGCATTAGGGCTCTGTAACATTTTTTTTAGTTTGCAGTTCAAATCTGAGCCATTTGTCTTGTTTTGTGGAAGGCAGAGTTTCATTTAACAGGATGTATTGGTACTTATTGCACACACACACAAAAATCCAAGCTGTAAATTGTAATTACTGTAACTGAAATCCACAACTCACATGATACCCAGAAAGGCAGCAAACATACATTACAAATCAGCAACTCGCTAAGGCCAAGACACACGAAACAATCACTCGAATGCTTTGGTGAAATGAATCTGCTCGTGAACTCATGGAAGATTTTCCTTTGCCATCTAACGAAACCATCAATGATAAGACGTAACTTTGAACGAGCAGCAAATTAATTGAAAGCAGCTTTCAGTAAATAACATGAATGTGCATGCTTGGCAATTCCCAAATTCCACGTCCTGTGCAGTATTATAATAATCATCATTATCAGTAATTGTCTACCCACTGCTGAATAAAGGCTTCCTCATGCTTTCATCGGTCATGGGGCCTGTCTGACCATACTTCAGTGCGGGTTGGTGAAGACAGCGTAATGTTGCCTTGCCTCTCGCCGAGTACATATCTGGTGTTGGGTGCCCCGATCTAGTACAAACACTCAGGTCTTAAAGTCTCTCAAACCTTTTCGCCACATCAAGGCAGTGCCACAATAAAGAAGAACCACTCGTACCATTGGCATAATACATCGCCTAGTATATTGTTCAGTTTAATGCAGGACTATGCAGTCAGCAGAGAACCCCATTGTTGCCCTGTACCCATGCTCTAACAACTATGCTCGCACTGACAGGGGTGTATGGGAAGGCCGTCATTCAGCAAGCCATTGATAAAAGGGGCTGTACGTGTACGTTCACATGAGTTCGGCGGGACTCCCCACGTGACCGCTGAAGCGAGTCATTGTCAAGCGGCACAGACCTGAACGCGGGCGGCGTGCTCGTGCTTGCGCTTGATGTCGTTGATGTGCCACGCCACGCTGGTCATGGTGGCTGTGGCCTCCTCGATGACCTCCATGCCCTCCGCAAGGCCCTCGTAGTGGTTCGCTATTTCCTGCAGCCACAAAGGTAAAGGTAGACTTAAAGGTGCCGCCCTGCAATTTTGCTTGCTCATGCCACTGCTGGTGGGAAGGGCCTCCAAGAGCTCTCGAGAGAACCGTTTCTAAGATAATATTTAGGCCTGCTCCTCCACACCAACCAGAGGTCAAAGGGGCCTGCTGATCAACTAACTGTGGATTACCCAATTATACTCCTGGGTGGACAGAGGCAGGGGAAATTTAGAAAATTGTACCATTGTTTCAACTGCCACTCCGGAAACCTCTGGATTTCATGTTTAGTGAGCTGACCATTAACACAATGGCACCCACCCATTTACAGCATTCATCAAGCTCAGTGCGAGCTTTGAGGAAACATTTGAACTAACAATCTAAGTTGATGACATTGATAAAATAAGCACGTGGAGTCCGACAATGGCTATGAGAGGCCCTGTGCACGTGGGCATGACTCACTCGCAGCAGCAAGTGGTATTTAAGGATGCGCTGCACGGGCTTCAGCAGGTAGCACCCGAGCGGCAGCGAGTGCTTCAGCGACGCTTGCACCTCCCCGAAGAACCGGGTCATAACGGCGCTGCGTGCGCACTCGTTCAGCACGTCTATGGCACTGCAGGGCACCACAACACAGAATCAGGATCTTTTTCACAGATACCCAGTTGGGGCACGGGGTCAGAAAGTTACAAGAACAAACAATATTAAAACACAAAAGGAGGGCAAGGTATAGGAATCGTAAACAAATCAGTAAAAATAATAATAAAAAAAATCTATGTTTATTTCACCAGGTAAAGCCAACTCAGCGAATAGCTTCTTTTTCAGAAGTGATGCGGCCACAAATTATTTCTCAACGAAGTGGCTTATCACGTGGAAATTTATAGCAGCAAAAATAACCCACATTCATCGTCTTAGCATCTTCATCGAATTTTTTATTTTTGTTAACGTATTCATGGTACGGAAAAAAGCATTCCCTTGTCATGTTTGTGTTTACGAATAATGAACGTAACTTTTAATTTACTGCTCTGTATCCATGATGATTGTAAACAACTAGTTTAAGCACTTCATAACAGCTTTATGGATATAAAATAATAATAATAAAACTTAGACAAATTTGCATACTCAAGAATGATATTTAAGATCGGGTTATTTGGGCCAACTATTTTAGTGTATTGCCATAGAAGTTATTTTATTCATAACATTTTAAATCCATTATACCACCCTGCCATAGTGATAACTGGAATTCACGAAAAAAACAGATAATATTATAAATAAAGGAACATGTATGCTTACTTTGGATAGTTCATACAGTACTGGGTATATATGTGAAAGGCTTCATTCTGCAGAAAAACAACAAGGCAAAGATAATTCAAGTTAGCGACAACAATGTTACACGCATGAACAAGTCAGAATGTAAACAAGTCCAGAAATATTCCGGATCATAAATGCATATAATGTTTTTTTTTTAATTAGGCGATGTGCCACTTCATGAAGACGCTGAACGAATCACCGATGGACACATGAAGTTTGAAGAAACCCTGAGCATGATTCCTAAAAGGACAACATACACCAATGATATTGATAATGTTCATTTCAAAACTGGAAATATGAATAGGATGGGGAATTTAATTATGCGAATGACAGGTCTGCAAGATGATGTATCTTTAAAAAAAACTACATGTACCAAGGTAGTACATGTAATAATAAGAGGAATTTACAGCTCTTTGTCAATACACTGATTAAAAAGTTGGTCATGGAATAGTTTGAGCATGCTTTACCACTCTAGTCAATGCACATTGATGAAGGTGGCAGCCAGGACCGGTGAAGATACTCACAACTGATGTTAGCCATCTGTGCGAATCAAACGTGGGTAACCGGAATCATAAAATGGAGTGCAAACTGTTATGGCAGCACTCCGCCATGTATTAAGGAATAACAACAATGAAATGAATAGCCAGCTCACATTGTTGTCAAAATATGCCTTTAAAGATTATTTAGGACAATTTTAAAGATTATTTAGGTAATGTTTCATCGAGTCTAGAGCAGCACATCTTACGTGGGAAGGCACACGTTGGAGATTAATGTGTCAGGAGAACGCTAAAACTGTCAAAGTAATGTTCCCAAGAGTGAAAACATGTTTTTATATTCTGCTATCTTCTCCATAATTTAAAGATCACAACCCGAAAACTCATACTCCCAAACCTTGAACCTCTTCCAAGCAACACAGTCCATGAACAAAGCCTGAAGTAAAAAGCATTAAAAGACGGAATGCTGATTTTACATATTATGTAAATATGTAAGTCAAAATCACGACATTTTACTCAGGATGTGTTCATGCAATCTCTAACTGCTCCTGCATGTCTTGTCTATAATTGATAAATAAATGGCTTAGCACAGCAGGGAAGCACACAAACATGAGAAGATCAAACTAAAGGAGGCAATTTGGCAAGGGTATTGACCATGTAATTTAATAGCCAAGTAGGGCAATTGGAGTATCCGGAAAGAATAATAAGATCTACAGGGGGTAAAAGCTCCCGGACTTGTCTATTTTAGCCACCGTGGCAATGATGCCACCCACGTGGCTACTGAGAGAGGATCATCACGGCTCATTAAACAAGGGTTAAGACTAAATTTGCGACATTTACGGGCTGCAGATATAATAGATTATCCACGAATTAATAAAATTGACACAAGTATTTGTCTGTTCATGAGTTAGGCTTCCAGCACTCAAAAATATAATTCGTGTAAAAATTGTTCTCCAACACATGTTGGAAAGCACAGTGGAAACTAGAATAAAATAAAAGTGTAAAAAAATAAGACATGATAAAGCAAACTCAAGGCACTATTAAATATACATTGCCATAACAGGATTGAAAGACAATTATCGAGGGATATTAAACCACACACAATATCAATCATGTCAGCTCGGTCTGAGCTTAACTTACATTATCTAGTTAAGCCGCGGCTCATGGACATGCACACGCAAGGTTAGCTCTGAAGTATATTTTGTAATGTCAACATACCAAACAGTAAACAACGGTAATGGGAACAACATGGGCGTTCCACCGTTCTGCACAAGAAAATCCTACTTAGCACTCCTGTGCGTGAGTGATTGCTAGCAGGTCAGACAGGGAGTCGCTGGGGGGTACACGAGCAGACTGACAATAATCGTGGCCTCATTTGCCACAAACATGTAGTCGCACTGCACGCACACCTCCCACACAAATAAGTATGCACTTGCAATTTCGAAACGTAAATATTTCCTTAAAATTGTGAACAGTATGGATGTATGTATGTACAGTGAACTCTAGATCGTGTAATATAATCTCAGTCAGTATGTCGATACATGTAATGTAGCGATGAAAGGTAAATGTATAAACGTAACTATTTGCATATTAACGCTTTGAAATGTGCGGCATATAACATTCACACACACACACACACACGTGCCTGCACTCACGCACAAAAAACATTACGAGTAATCTCTTAAAGCATTCCCACATTTAAACATTTAAATAAACTCTCTCAGAAACGAAGTCACTGCTGCCATAAATAAGGCAGAAAACTCAATTTGTGTTCCCTCACTAGGAGCTCCCAGAGAGCTCAAATGCCCCATAACTTCGCACTGCTCTGGTCACAGGCATTTTCAGTTTTGGGGGAAAATATTTTTTTTTTGGGAAAAAACATGTTAAAAGTGAGTCCATGGCAATGCTGAAATATTAAACGTGAATCAATGGGAGATGTTCAAGGAAGATGTGAGGGCAATTATACATGATGGAAAGGATTTATTTTTTCATGACCAAATTAGATTTAAAAACCAGAATGATTTAAAGTTGCAATAGGCTGGACAGAGAACAGACTGCCTGTCAGGGCATATGCCATGTAAAAATTGGTGTTGCAGAGTAACAGCCAAATCCAAACTGTAGCAGCCTTTGGCAACGATGGGCAATGTATTTCATCTGATGTTTTGCAGTTAAACAAATATATATAAATGACTAGCTTCATGCAGCAAAAGAAAAATGTTACGATAAAAAAAAAAACTAAATTGACATAAACACGTAATATTGGTTGGTATTTCCTTAATTGTTGGAGAAATATGAGGAAAGTCAAGTTTGTATACCATATTTCATTAAAATAAAGATGGCAATTTGTTATCAAGGTCAAATCATCAGTGCAAATACGTTGATACCACCACACCTCGTGATTGCTACCTTCTGGCGCACCCTTACATAAGTGGTAAAAAGAGGTCAAGGAGTAATATGATTGATGAAAAAGTTTATATTGCTCGACCATTAAAGTAGAACTATAAATTGCGATTAACGGGATCTGCTTCGGATTATTATGTATTGTGTAGAACTGAGGTTTACCTCAGTTGCCAGTAACTCCACGAGCACGATCTCAATTTGCAAATGGGGAAATTAAAATGACGGCATGAGGCCTTCAATTTGGCTGCCGCGTTGAATTCCTGCTGTTCGCACTTGGAATGCGCATGCACAGCAAGCACGCTAACCACCGAGAAACACCATCGTTCTGTTGGCAGTGTTAGACAGGAAACCTTCCCGTGGAATCTTGAGCAATTCATAATTTAAGCTGTCACTTAGGAAAATTGATGTTTGATAACGTTCCAAAAAAGGATAGGGGTGTATTTGAAATAATTGTACTTCATTTTGAAAGTAATCCCTGTAATACATCTGGTATCTGTAATAACCTCTCTGTGAACTAATCGTATGTTTAATAATGTACTGCCCTTGTCAGAAAGTGGAATGGGGCCTTGGCCGAGGCAAAAGCAGTGCATTATTCACATCCAATGTGGTTTCTCAGGTTGGAATGCTGTGAAAAGCCCTCGAGTGGTGCAATACAGCAGCCCCAGCAGCTCCTTCGCAATGCAGTATTATCTCATCTGATAGAATTGTTGGCTTAAAAAAGATCAGTGTCACATATTAAAGTAGTGTATGTGACTAAATGGCTCTCCATTATTGAAATGACACAAAGACACAATCCAGTCAGGTGGTACTTTGTCAGAGTATTCACACTCACGACACAACTCTCGGGTCAATAAAACCAAGTGCAACTTCTTGCTTGGGAAGTCAACAATGGTTTTACATTACTACTACTACTCAACAATGGTTGTTGTTTGGTTAGAATGGTCTCCCATCATAATAATTTTTAATATCCACCACTGGATCAGGCCTGTCAGTGGAGATGGAAAGCACCCTCCCGTTTATCTGAGCATGGAGACGTTACAAGACCTTTGAAAATACAACAAATTTGGGTACATGCAATAAGTGAATAAGTTGATATAAAACAGATGATACAGCGGTACCAGGCACGAGTGAGACATCTCTGCAGATTCTCTCAAGGCATTATGCACATTTTATTAAATAATACTACTCTGACATTGTTCAGGAAATACATTAAACATAAACAGAGATTGTAATATTTCTTAGATATGCTAAATCAAATTAATACACTTTATATATGTACACACAAGCACGAATAAGCGTCGAAAATGTTACTTATTGAAATTATTTCTACATTCAGTAACAGTTCACACAGATGTGAATGTTTTTAGACATTTATGAAAATGTATTTCAAAGCATGAAATGTTTTTTTTAATTTTAAATCATTTAAATAATTAATAGACAACAAGCAACTGTCGTGGTAAACATGGAAAAATCAATTCAGGATAAGTTTACATTTGACAGTGAGGTAATGGCTAAGTATAATGTTAAGACAACACAAACTATGAACGCAAGCACTGTGTGTAACTTGTGTGGCTGGCATCTGTTTTTCCAGATAAAACAGAACACAGTTTCCTATTAATGAGAGAATTGCAGATTTACAGACACTATTTAAAATAGCAGGAGTGCATTAGAAGTAACAATTCATTTGTAATAATACTTATTCATGTCACAGTTATGTTATCGTGTAACCATCTTGTTTGTGTGTGTGACCAGTGGCAATTGGGAATATATTGGTGCTACATCATGGGACCTCCTTTGCCAGTACCAAAATATGAGAATAGGTTTTCCCATTTTTTTTGGCAACATATGCTGTCTCTGGTGTGGACCAATCAGTTTCAAAGACAATGCATATTTTATCAGAGTATGTTTTTTTGTTTACATTCTGACCACAATCATTGTGGTTAATGCAGACATGATTCCTTGTAAAAGGTTTCAGTTTGGTGTTTTAACATCTCAACACAGCTTTTTGTTGCCAGAAAAAATGGGAAAACCTATTCTCAATATATTGTTGATTTCAGTTTATATGATGTGATAAAACACACACATGGTGAAACAAAGCAAAGAGATGTAGATGAAGAAATATTTACTAAAATGTTGACAATAATCTAAATCAGTGGAATATATGTCATAAAAAGTATTGATATCACAAGTATTTTCTCCTATAAGATGAAACAGCCAAAGCAAGCATATACACACGTGTATATTCTAACATGACACTGTTCAATGTATATAACCTAGCAGAGGTGTGGACTCGAGTCATGTGACTTGGACTCGAGTCAGACTCGAGTCATGAATTTGATGACTTCAGACTCGACTTGGACTTGCATAACAATGACTTTGTCCCACCTCTGAGGTGTGGACTCGAGTCATGTGACTTGGACTCGAGTCAGACTCGAGTCATGAATTTGATGACTTCAGACTCGACTTGGACTTGCATAACAATGACTTTGTCCCACCTCTGAGGTGTGGACTCGAGTCATGTGACTTGGACTCGAGTCAGACTCGAGTCATGAATTTGATGACTTCAGACTCGACTTGGACTTGCATAACAATGACTTTGTCCCACCTCTGTAACCTAGAGTTGTAATGAGTGAGCCTATTCCATCAATGTACACTAAACTGTGTTCCCAATAGTGTGCAGCGAGATATAAATGTTTATGCTTTATAAATTTTATGAATGTCATACTTGTTTTCATAATTAAAAGCGATTTAATATTCACACAGTGAGGGAAATGATTTGCTTATTTGGAAGACATTCCAAATGTAATCATCAAGTATGTTTTGTTGTGTATGATTTCTCTCATTATGGCAGTGAAATTCACTGATGTGTCGAGTATTTTTTTTGTGCTTCTGCAACAATGCCAAAGCAGTATGACAACAATTTATGAATGTATTATTTTTCATGACCAGTTGGCATAAGCATTTATACATTTTATCACAGGAATCTTTTTTTTTCTGCACCGGGATACTTTGTATCACACTTTACACCTTAGGTGGCAGTCAGGGAAAGGAACGCATCTGATAGTACGTCCATCGAGCTGATGGAGCGATCGTATCAGCTCGTGTAGGGGGTACTCGTGGATTATTACATCAACGTGTCATGAGAGAAATGGCAGCGACATGGGGAAGCCTTCATGCAGCAGTGAATTTACCAGCGCTGTTGAATCTTACCTTTGCAACAAAAGCAGTCAGCTATGGCCACAGGATCGAATGCACAGCTCTCCAGCTCGTGAAGAAGCTCGCTGAAGATGCAAAAAAGAACACACACATGGACATGAACAAACACACAGAATAATGATGTGCTTGTGCGAAATACATTTGCAATAACAGTTGCATTTGAAAGACCTTCCATGTACAATTTACACACACAATTTATTTGCAGATATAGCTCTCTGGTGTGACTTCTGGTTGTACCGCGTGATGTTCGGCATGACCTTCGATGTTTCACTCCACGTACTTCTTAAAATCTGGAGAAAATCGTGCCAAAAAACACTGGACGTGGGACAACCAGCTGTACTGGCGCAACGGTGAAAAATTTGCTCAGTCGTTTAATGTACACTTGATTCAATGTGCATGTTGTTATTATCCTTTACATTTTAATAAAGTGACCTTCTAAAATCAAAATAACTCGCTTTTCCTCCCCTTTTACAAATTCATTAGACATTTTCCACACAGCTCGCAATGGCCCGTGCCCCTTGCGGGTCACATTAGGCCTTGCGGCTATTGAAGCTCACATGCGAGGCGCTTGTCTGCATGCAAGAGGGGAGAAAGAACGGACTAATTTCTCTGTGACGTCATGTGACACTTAGAGCAGTGTGCAGCTGCCCCAGACCCATGCAGGCATGAGCAAGATGCCTGTCAAGTGCTCAATCAGTCTTTTGTAGAGAAGTTAATCAAGTACAAATTTGAAGTTATGATTGTGGAGGGAGGATACTTGTGTTTATAATCAGGTATTTTTGCGTGTACAGCCTTTTGTCAGTCCACTGCTGGATGAGAGCCCTCCATGTGCTGTGAGGGTCATGGGGGATATTCGACATACTTGGCAACTCCAAATCAGTATTTAATAGTTGTAATATGATATTTGGCTTAAAATTTTATTCTGTATTGGATGTTGTTAATTTTATACGAGTCATTGTTTAATGTGGGAGAGTCTATAGTTTTTGACTAAATGGATTTTACAATCAGGCACACATGCTAAGTTTGGAAAGTGCCGACGATGAACTTACGTTTTGACACCGAAGTGATTATTGAACATGAGAGTGGAGAATGCGCTGACAGACAGCTGACAACTCAGTGGCACCAACACCCATAATAAAGAAGCCATAACTTTTCGTCACATTGCTTGGTTATTTTGTCACCCACCATTACCAGGCAGATTTAAGTAATTTACACGATAAAGTTATTTCCTTTGTTACTTATTATTTATGATCAGCAGCTAGTGGAAAAGCTTTGCTTTCTCAGTAAACATTTTTTTTAGGTTTTCCCCCCAACAATTAATCAAATTTGTAAATTATGAGAACACTCCATTATAACAGAATACTAGTGCAGGACGGACAATTCCACGAACTTCAAACGACACGGAATTATGCGAAAAACACCACAAGGCCTCTACGCATTAAATGAGAAAAAAATGTGACCTACTGACAGGTCAGTCGGTCACCGACAGGTCAGTCGGTCACTCAGTGGGTCACATTTTATGAAATGTATATCGATGGTGACTTTAGACAAGAAAATCACAAGGCACATCTTATGGTCCTCATGAAATGCCGATGGTTTTTTCAAAATGCACAGAGGCTGTGTGCCTACAAAACATTTTCATGTTGTTTGAAACGTATGATATCATTCGTTCAATCTTCCGTCTGCAGGTGGAACCGTCACAGCACGCTTGCTGTGACGGTTCCACCTGAAGACGGAAGCTTGTGTTGCCTCCGAAACGTCGTGATTTTTATTTTATTTTTATTTTACTTTTATTAATGTTTTTTATTTTTCACCTACGTGACTTTACCGAAAAAAACCTAAGAATATGAATACTTGCAGTCACGAAAGCTTCAAATCTATAATTCGTTCAATCATTTATATTTTATTTTAAAATCAACTCTGAGCATAAAAGCATGTTATTTGAAGTTTGTTTTCTTCTCATTCCTGTTATCACCCAAGAAAATAAAGGCGCTCACGCAAGGCCTTTTTTCAACCCACTGCTGAATGAATCAGTAAAGGCCATTGAACTGTACACAGCTCTTATTCAAGGGCGACTCTCTGCCAGCAGACAACAGCAACATCAAAGTGTCAAGACTACATTGAGGGCCTCCCCATGCAGCGTCGATCATGGGGGTTGTTTTTACCATACTTCACCAAAAGCATGGTGCTCTCTGTGAAGGTGTGTGCTATGCCGGTGATGAACTGCTGTGAACGTTAATTCAGATGTATGATTACACTCTAAAGCTGCTGGTTGTTAAAGTAAAAACATGATCTAATTCATAACTACACCTCTAGGGAAATTTTAAAGTATGGTACATCATATGATGCAATCCAGATCTAAGTTAACACCGTGACATATACTACATTTTACAGGCTGTTTTTTTTGTTCAACAGCCAAAAAAAGAAAAAAGATGTTGCTTAAAAGTTCATCTTCTTCCATATATCACGTCAGCCACAAACACAGATTAAAAAAAGAGAAGGCCATTTACACGAGCGCTATTCCTCTCCACCGAAGCGAATTCTATTGCTGACTGGACTAGCTGAACTAGAGCCAAGATGTGAAGTGTGGGTCCGAAATGTAAAATTTACTGTGTATAATTCTTCAAACAGCCATTCAGAGGTGATTCCATTGTAGAGGGCTTGCGTGCTGAACAGCTTGCCAAAAATAATCGGTCTGCTCTAACCGTGCAACTATAGTGTTACAGTGAGCACTGAGGGTTCGCAGCTGCTCTGGATGTCTCACTAAGGCGAAGGCTTTCGAAAAATATACATTCCTCATTGGCAAAAATGAAATAATAAGTACGTTTCAACGTGTAGTGACATTCAAACATACTTTGACACCTTCGGTAAACACTCGACACAATGCGCGGCAGCTGAATTACTAAAAGCTGGCTATTTCCAATTGGCTTTTTTTTATATACGAGTCGCCCCTTTGCACACATTTCTACACTTGCTGGGTGAGACGAGTGGGCCATTTGAACTCACGAGCTCTTGCCAAATTTTGGTTGATCACAACACCAAGATAAAGGGCTAAACGGACGACAGTTGAACAATTGCCAAACAAACACAACGACGTCACAGTCTCATGAAACTCACTTAAAAAACAAAGGAGATATTTAATATAGAAAACTATAATGATGTGATGAACATTTTTGTTTACAGCGAATATATTATACTACTGCTTTTGCTGTCTGTAGATTCCCGCGGTTGTACAGAATAGCTCTGTGATGAATTTTCTGGTTGTACCGAGTGTTGTGCTAACCAATGTGTGTCGTGTCACAGCATTGCTCTAATTTTCTCATGACCATCAGAACCCTGGGCCAAGTTTGTTTAGTGGAGGTTGTATAAACTCACCCTCCAGGTAAATGGTACGTCAGGACCTCAAGGCTGCCCAAGCGGAGCCATACATCCACACAACCACACACTATCAGTTTGGATTGGGTACAAATGGGTCACAGTCCAACGCCTCACAGCTGTGCTCGCGCACCACACTAATGGATGGGTTGGCCTGGCTTCATGCAACTGCTCTCAATGAACACACATACGCCCCACTTTTCTCTATGCATTGGCCACTCATATTCTACCCGATTGAATTTCACACTTAATTGCTTGGCAATGGTGTGTGTTCGTGGAGGACTATACAATTAATCAATGTGTTCAAAATCTGGAAGATTGGCTTTTTTTTTTAAATAAAAATAACTGGTAAAAAACTAATCCTCAGCTTATTTTTTATGAAATCCTATTAACCTTAATAAACAGAAAGACAATGTGAAATTAACAATTTTTTACTTGTATTATTCATTCAAATATTTTACCTGGAACAGCCCTTAAGAGAGAACATCTCTTTTGCAAGGGTTCCCCAGTTTCCTAACTTTCAGTTAGCCATAGATTAAATAAGGCAATAAGAAAGACGGTTTCTCTTTTAGAACTTGACTACTAAATCCATGTCCTGCGATTTAACCACGTGACACTTTTATTATTCTGTAAGAGCAAGATGTCATCGTAGCCAAATTTGTAAATGTAGCCCATTAGCTTGTAAAAGACATGTAACAACGACTTCTTTATCTTTGGTCTAGAATACATAGACACTAAAATATAGGTTGCTTTTATTTATTAACATTAGTCTGTGAAGGATATTGAAATAAATCAAGCATGCTGTATTTTAGTATTTGTATGTTCGAAATAGAAAAGGTACAGTTCTTGTTATATCAACGTTGGAAGATATTTTGCTAGGCAAACACAATTTCACAAGAGTATAGGCACTTACCCACTAACATCTGCTGACAAGGCTGACTCTGGGGATGAGACCCAGAATGGTGAAAAAAACCTATGCAGACTTTGTGTGTTTAAAAACCATTCTGCTCGTAAACATAATTCTCCAAGGGCAACAGGACGATAAATTAAACGGTATTTAATTTTTTTCAGTGCAGACGCAGAAGGGAAGATTTATTTATTTATAGTAACGTGATAGGTTCACTCCACACAGATTCAAAGTGGGGACGCAGGAGAACATCATAGCAGGAGCGTTGCCTTTCTACAACCGCAGAGTGCTGTCACTTCTCGTCGCGAGAATAGGGATCTCTCACCTGTTAAGAGCGTAGATGTCCTCTATGTTTCCAAAGAGCGTGCAAACCTCCTCAGGGCTCAGAGGCAGGTCTGGCGTGTCGATGATACAGCCAAGGTAATTCTATAAAAAAACAAATATCATCAACACATGCATGCATTTAGTTGTTTTCCCACATTGGCCAAAACGTAGCATTTTCTTGTGCCTTTTCAACTCATGTATCAAAGTCATTTACAAAAAATAACATCACAGTTTTCTTATCGTTTGGCGTTCGGCAAAACAACAGACTACAATTGTATTAAACATTTAGAAGCCATTCCACATCATCCAGGGTAACTGTTTGTTCCACCAGCATACGCGTGTGGCTTTGGACAGCCATCAGTAATATGTGCTTGATAGTGTGCACTTCACCAAATTTGCACTTTGTTGAGACCTTGTTTTTAATATATACTGGTAATGTTTATTTGTCGTATTTATACCAAACATGGAATGCATAAAATGTCAAGAAATTTGCTATAGAATGGATTAGAAGATTTAAAATGCAAAGATCTACTTCAACGAGAAGGAAACGTTATTGTTATGTAATGGACATCGATCCACATCTCTACGTGAACTCATTGCGAATGCAGAACATTTTTTTATTAAAATAAACTTTGTAAATAAGTTTGTCTTAAAAATACTATGCACAATTATCAACATTCTTGAAGCGCATTTCCCACGGCACACGTTTGAATACGTAGGTCCTATATGGCAAGTGTCCAGCCAAAATGAGCCATATCCTCCATAAAAGCAATATTCCCTACTGCCATCCACACAGGGTTTCCTGAGTTAGGGCGTAGCACTGGCCACATGGATACATACTTCTGTATGCCAAACGGGCCATGAATGGCTTGACCTTTGCATGGTGATGCAAGGGTTATATATACAGATTTAAGGAAACATATATGGTGATGGAAAATAGTTCATCTTGGTAATACTTATGGTAATGATAGATAGAGTAAATTAAGAATGCTGATTTTGTTTTTGAAATATAACTTTGCCGGCTTTTTTAAAATTAAGTTCTTATATCATTTAAAAAAAATAATTTTTATTGCTTGTTAGAATTACTATGTCTTCGAGATGGTAAATCATTCCTCTTTGTATGTTCGTCTTTATGTTTCCAATCCGATTTTTCATTGATCATTTCAGGAAGAGTGCATCGACTGGCCTTTCCTCCATTAACTGATAACAGTATTTTTTCCTTTCTTCATGAAATCTCAATGAAGCTGCTCTATCCTTGCGAGTGTTTTTACGACTTCTCAACATATAACGATGGAAATAAGTGGACAGACCATGGTTGAGTGATGATGTTGATTAAGTTAACAAGGAAAATACGTAACAGTTCAACAAAGGATTCTGTTCTTGTGTAAGGAAATATGTTTAGGATTGGAATGTCAATGTCGAGGTATGCTAACCATGTGAGGCTTCATGAGAGAGTTTGTGTAATTGTGTGTTCCCTCCGTTGAAAGTGCACAGACTACAGCAGTTTATGGTCCCAATGTTAAGGGGATCATGCATATTTATAGGAACAATACCATTATTATAGTTGTGACAATGTTAAGGAACGTACTTTAAAACGGTCTGCCTATTTCTAGTTAGTCTCTGGGCGAAAAGACAAACTCGCAAGGAATGTAATAATGACCAGAATGATGTTTAGTCTATCAGATCTAGAGGAGTAAATACAAATTTGGTGTAAGCATACAAGAAATGTCGGTAATTCAAATACTGGATTTTTCTTGGGCTATAAGCCTACATGGAACTTAGCTTAAGGGAAGGTTATAGTTTGCCAATATTTACTTCATGAGCTGCAGTATTTATTACATTTTACCATGATGGATGTTCTCTTGATCAACACTGAACTTGTCCAATTATTTCCACATGAAATACATTCTGGAAAGATAAATATGCAAGCGTGCTGAGATATTCCATTCTAATATTTCCTTACAAGTCACTGGGATTGACAAAAAAAAGCATTATGAACCGATGCAATGTCAAAGCATCTTATGTTTTGGAGTAACCGTGAAATGACACCTAATTAACACGTGCTGTTGTGTTTATCATAACTAGCGGAGAACGTATGAAATAAAAAAAATTAAGCAAAAATAAACGGAATGAACATGAAGTGTGCCTCACACGTAAGTTTCACTTTTTTAACACGAATGCATTCCAGGTACAAATTCGCAATTGAGAAATTCTGGAAAGAAAATATGTTGTGCTCATTGCACAAAATATACAGGGTACCGATAGCAATTTTCCACAACTATGTAGCACAAAATGTTCTCCTCAGGTATCGGCCAGGTGTTCTAGTCCTAGAAGGGTGCATTTTTTGTATCACCTGCTGTGACTGCGTTCCAGTGGTTCAGGAAACGGTGGTGGTACTGGGCGTTTTTGGCAATTTCCCCCGCATGGACAGAGATACTGGCAGCTGTTACTGGCAGCCGTCCCTTACCATAGACGCCTTACATTCAGAGTGCGTAATTTCACTCACATGTGAAACAACGTACGCAAGGGAATCTAACCCACTGAGATGCAGACATAGCTGGCGGTGTAGTAGGGGTGAAATCCAGGTGTTACTTTTTTTCCCTCTCTCTTGTTGCCTGTTAAAATCAAACTTTCATCAAAATATTCGACAGCCTGGCCATTTCCCATAAATCAGGATTACATTACCTAAATATAGGTGAGGCAGCTGGTGATATTAAAAATAAACCTTCTTGCAAGTTAACATCCTACCAGAACAGTTATTTTCATGCATCTTAAAATAACCCAAATTGCTATTAACCCTAATCACGTAAAAAATACCGACAGTTTATTTATGTTGAGGGTCAAAATTAATGGGAAAAAAACGACAACGCGGGGTCTCTATTTAAGTGCGTAAAATGATCAAGCAGCTTCGTAGCTGAAACTGAAAAATTAATGACAAAGTCAGCAACTATATACATTGCATGAAGTCTACACCTCACACTTTGAAATGATGTGTAATGAAAAATATAATTATTGTGCATGTAAATCAGCAGTATTTTCATAACTAAAAGTAACCCCAAATAATTTCCAAAGTTACATCTGATGCTCTTGGCATGCTCTTGGCATCAGATGTAAATGTCACTTATTGATTTTGTAGTTGTAGGGCAAAAACCTATGCAATCCATATGCACAGGAATTCTTGTGGTAAAAATGCCGCAAAAAACAAATGTCCACATTCCAGATGTTACAGAGCTCCACATATGCAGTGTTGCATTTATTGCCATTGGGGCCTCACATACACAGTGAAATGTCCCAGGATATTTATGGGAATTCCCAATGCTCTAATTTTCTAAGCTATTTTCCCGACACCGTTGACTTGAGAATGCCTTCCATAACACCAGGATATCAGTAACTGGGTCTTCTGATGGGAAATGTATGTGAATGCTGTTATTTCACAGACAACATTGACTTCACTGTCAACTCCAAGGCTTTGCATTCCATATATAATTTACATATGTTCTTGTATTACTTAAAAAAAATCAATAACAGTTTTTCATCTACGTATCTCAAAACACTCACGTTTAAAACACGTTACCAATTTATGCAACGTTGTTTCGTGGTAAAAAAGTCCTACATTGTAAGCATTGAGTTAGATTATTGTACTTCGGTAATGGTTAGCAGGCATTCCTCACCTTACCACCCCGTTTATTTTTTTGAAGACAAGGAACTACAATGGATAGCACTCAACTCCTTTCATGCCCAGAAGTAAAAGTGGAACATACCAAGCAAGCTTGCTGGTATCTTCCGAGAAACATACGTCCAGTCTTTCAAAGAGTTTGGTTCGTGGGGTCTGAGCACTGCCCTTTCCTCTTGCTGTGTCCGGAGTGGCGTGGGGTGGTTGCTTATCTGACTCTATTTCCGTACTTTATTACTCCCCATTATGCAGTGTTTGCTTTAGAGGTGGGATAGATTAATTCTGCAGATAAATGAACATTCCCAAAAGGCAGCTGTGGTTTGCGGCTTTAAAAAAATCAACACCAAAGACGCACCTCATCTATTACTGCCAGCAACGAATTGAATGTTTTAGTTTTTCTTGTGGGCAACCATGGCTACACTTGAAATGCACTTACAGGTTGTCCCTATTTTCGCCCATTAAGAAATCTGAACTCGGTAAATCGATTCCATTGCGTTGCGTAAACAGCAATAATGCTCACTCCATGTTTAAACCTCAGTGGACTTTGTTAGCTCAGTGGGCTTTGTCTGGTAAGATGGGGATGGTGTAGTTGTATGTGTTTAGGTGATTTGTTTACCTTCCCTGTACTTTGCACTCCTATCATGTTTTTGTATTGTTTGTTGTTGTAACGTTCTTACCCGCCCGACTGAACATCTGTGAAAAAAGGGCGCTATAGCTCCTCGGATTCCTCCAGTATAAATATTCTCATTTTGATAAACGCATCACGTTGCACATAACCAACGTCTTGCAGACACATCCCACAATAAGGATCCCGGGAAAATGAATCTCATTTACGTGTTGACCTATAACCCAAAACATCCACGTGCTCACAGTAGTCTAATTTTGCTGACCACTCATCGCGAAGACAGCTTTGCTCTATCAACGGTCATCCGCTCAAAGAAACACATCCATGGCTAATCTGACGATGTGGGAAGCGTGTCAAAGCATACCTATGATCGATGATACCAAATATCCATTACGTACGATATGTAAACAAAAACGCATTGTATAAAGCGCATATGTATGATCGTGAACAAAATGCAATAGAAGAAGTGACGCGCAATTTGTCACACGATGAGAGAAAACGTGAAAAGCATCCACATGTGTTGGACGTTAAGAGGTTGGAGGCCTCGTAATGCAGTCATGCAACGGTGGCAGCACTTTTCTCGCTCGCCGCCGACGCCGCCACCATCGCCGTGCGGGTGTGATGAGTGACAAGAGATTACAGCCAGGGAGAGCCGCGGCAGCTCTGTGGAGGAAGATCTTCCCGAGCCACAGCTCATGTCCGATGTCTGGAGATAAGGGCGAGCACGCGCGCGCCGCCGCCGCCTCCTTGGCCGGCGTGAGATAATCAGATAAAACCTCCACCGCAGCCGCCGCACGGCGATTG